CAGATACTGCCAGACCTGCTGAGCTTTTCCAGCAACTTTGTTTTTGTTGCTGATTTACAGCATCCGCAGTTCTTCTGGTGATTGAACAGCAACTAGGGATAGACAACAAATTCAAATTCTGGCCCAGCCAGCAATGCCCACATGAATTAATAACAAAAAATATCTTGGGCTTTTCAGGGTTTCCAAACATCCATTGGTACCAGGCTTGAAGCATTCAACAAAGAACATTCACAACCCTCCAACATACATAGAATCCAAAGGCTGACAGACAAAGTGAAGGTGTGTCCCCCCATCTCAGTCTGACACTGTCAGTCTCTTGTCGTTGATGTGCTTCGTGAAATTCAATGAGGTGGCGTTGTTGGATTGTGCTTTCAGAAAACTAGGAGAGAGTCAAATGTTCTCCTTCTGACATTTGATCATTCCATCTTGATGGGTGATTCGTTCAGGGCTGATAATAGCACAATATGTGTCCATATTGGAGTAAAAATGACTTTGGTGGGGGGACCGCTTTGCAGAACACCTACGCTCGGTTCGCACTAAACAACTGCACCTCCCAGTCGCGAACCATTTCAACTCCCCCTCCCATTCCTCAGACGACATGTCCATCCTGGGCCTCCTGCAGTGCCACAACGATGCCACCCGAAGGTTGCAGGAACAGCAACTCATATTCCGCTTGGGAACCCTGCAGCCCAATGGTATCAATGTGGATTTCACAAGTTTCAAAATCTCCCCTCCCCCCACCGCATCCCAAAACCAGTCCAGCTCGTCCCTGCCTCCCTAACCTGTTCTTCCTCCCACCTATCCCCTCCTCCCACCTCAAGCCCCACCCCCATCTCCTACCGACTAACCTCATCCCGCCCCCTTGACCTGTCTGTCCTCCCCGGACTGACCTATCCCCTCCGTTCCTCCCCACCTACACTCACCTTTACTGGCTTCATCCCCGCCTCTTTGACCTGTCTGTCTCCTCTCCACCTATCTTCTCGTCTATCCATCTTCTATCCGCCTCCCCCTCTCTCCCTATTTATTTCAGAACCCCCTTCCCCTCCCCCATTTCTGAAGAAGGGTCTAGGCCCGAAACATCAGCCTTCCTGCTCCTCTGATGCTGCTTGGCTTGCTGTGTTCATCCAGCTCTACACCTTGTTATCTCTTCCGTTTGTAGTGTTCCTGCCATAACTACATCTGGAGTACTGTGAGCTGTTTTGGTGCCCTCTTTTAAAGAAAGTTTTTTACATTTTTCATTGGTGGGATGAGGGTGTCACTGGCTAGGCCAGCATTTCTTGCCCATCCCTAATTGCCCATGGGGTAGTTAAGAGACAATGAATAGGATGGGTTTAGTGGGATATGGGCCAAATGCTAGCAAATGGGACTAGATTAATTTAGGATATATGGTTGGCATGGATGGGTTGGTCCATGTTACCGTGCCATACATCTTTATGACAGATTGCTGTGGGTCTGGAGTCACATGTAGGCCAGACCAGGTAAGGATGGCAGTTTCCTTCCCTAAAGGACATTGGCCAACCAGATGGGTTTTCCAAACAATCAATTCATGGTCATCATTAGACTCTTAAATCCAGGTATTTTTTATTGAATTCAATTCCCACCATCTGCCACGGTAGGATTCGAACGTGGAACCCCAAACATTACCTGGGTCTCTGGATTAACAGTTCAGCAATAATTGTACGAGGTCATTGCCTCAACATTTCATTGGAGGCAGATCAGAGAAGGTTCATCGGGATAATCCCCAGTGTGGAGGGACTGTCTTGTGACCAAAGGCTAAACAGTTTGGGACTCTAGTCACTGGAGAAGAATAAGAGGTGATCTCATTGAAATGCTTTGGATTCTTAAGTGGCTTGACAGGGTCAATGCTGAGAGGATGTTTCCATTTTTGGGAAATTCTATGACCAGAGGGCACAGTCTCAGAATTAAAGGATACTAATTTCAAACTGAGATGATTTACTCAAGTTTTGTACAACCAAATGACTATCTGATCACCCAATCATGGTCAAGTGATTGCTCATGTTGTTTGTCCGAGAGAATGGTGGAGGCATGTATTCTCACAACATTTAAGAAGTAACAAGTACTTAAAATGCCAGGATGCAGTAGGCTATGGATGAAGTGTAGGTAAATGGGATTGGAGTAGTTTAGTGTTTGCCGGTCAGCATGGATGTGGTGGGCTGAAGGGCCTGTTTCTATGTTCTATGACTATGTTTTGATTGTCTGATGGGGTCGGAGGAGAGTTTTGCAGAGCTCATTCCTTCTTGTTGACACTTTGACCCTCCAATGGGTGACATTTCAGTGCCTAAGGAAGGGTCTACTGTTCCATTCAGCATGTCTATGGAGCTGGCCTTAGCAGAGCAGGCTGTCTTCTCCTGCTTGGACAGTTCTGAACAAATTCAGTTTGCCTGCATCGTTGCTGGATGTCTAAATACAGGCGGAGCCTGTTCTAGAGTTAAAGGTTCAGCTCATCTGTTCTAGGCACAAACAGACAGAATCCAGAACCAATATTGAAATCTCAGAAATAAAACAAGCATTGCAACCAACTGAATGTTGCAGCAAGATCAAATTAACACCTGATTTGTAACGTTCTGCAATGACAAATTTCTGTGCTTTTTCCACTATGAACATTATCTATCTGAGAGGCAGAGAGACGGAGAGACAGAGAGAGAGAGAATACTGTGAGCAGATCTGGGCGTTACACCATAGGAAGGATAGATTGACCTTGGAGGAAGCACAATGTAGATTTACAGGAATGACACCTGGACTTCAGGGTTTAAGTTATGAGGAGAGTTCATACAAATGAGGCCTGTTTTCTCTAGAATCTGGAAGGTTCAAGGGCAAGATTGAAGTCTTCAAGAAATTAACACCAAAAGACAGATAAACTAAAGATAACACAGTGTGGAGCTGGAGGAACACAGCAGGCCAGGCAGCATCAGAGGAACAGGAAAGGACCTGAAACGTCAACTTTCCTGCTCCTCTGGCCTGCTGCGTTCCTCCAGGTTTACACTGCATCATCTCTGACTCCAGCATCTACAGTTCTTCCTATCTCTAAACTAAAGATGAACTGTTCCCACTCATTGGGGATTCTAGAACTAGGGACATAGACTGAGAATTAGGGTCAGACCGTTCAGGAGAGATGTTAGGAAGCATTTCTACACACAAAGGGTGGGAGAAGTTTAGAACTCTCTTCCACAAATGGCAGTGGATTCTGGATCAGTAGTTAACTTTAAATCTGAGATCGATAAATTCTTGATAAGCAAAGGTACTATGGGGTATGGGCCAAAGGCAGATACATGCAGCTATGCCACAGATCAGCCATGATCTCATCGAATGACGGAACAGGCTTGAGGGCCTGAATGGCCGATTCCTGTTCCTATGTTCCTAGAATGTCAAGATTTCATGCAACATCATAAAATAGAAAGAAAGAGTGCTGGAGATACTCAGCAAATACAGCAATGTCTGTAGAGAGAGTTCTGACAAAGGGTCCAAAACGTTAACTCTCTTTCTCTTTCCACACATGCTGCCAGACCTGCTGAGTTTCTCCAACACTTTCTGTTTTTACTTCAGACTTCTTCAAATGTTTAATGTGGATCTCACCTATTTACAACCTGTATAAATGATCTGCAAGCAGGGATAGAGTGTAACATAGCAACATTCGCTGGTGATACCAAAATAGGTGGGAAAGCAGGCTGTGATAAGCAGATAAAGAGTTTATAGATGGCTATCGATAGGCTTGGAGAATAGGCCAGAATCTGGCAGATGGGGGTTAATGTTAATAAGTGTGAGTTGTCCATCTTGACCGGAAACACAAAAGGGCAAATGATGATTTAAATGGGAATCAAAGTGCGTCAGTGCAGAGGGATCTGGGTGCCTTTGTGGATGGATCACAGAAAGCGGGTATGCAGGTGTAGCATAGAACAGGAAAGGCAAATGGAATCCTGGCGTTTATTGCAAAAGGACTGGATTATAAAAGTAAAGAAGTGCTGTTACAATTATATAAGGTGTTGGTGAGGCCACATCTGGAATATTGTGTCCAGTTTTAGTCTCCTTATGAGAGGAAGGATGTGGTGGTACTGGAGGCAGTTCAGAGGAGGTTCACGAGGTTGATTCCAGGGATGAATGGGCTGTCAGCCGAGGAGTGGTTGAATAGCTGGGGCTTGTACTCGTTGGAGTTCAGAAGAATGAGGCGGTATCTGACTGAGGTATATAAAATACGAAAGGGGGATCGATAAGGTGGGTGTGGAACAGATTTTCCCCTTGCGGGACAGTCTCGAACCAGAGTGCATAAATATAGAGTGAGAGGAGGGAGGTTCAAAACTGAGATGGGAGAAACTACTTCTCTCAGATGGTTGTGAATCTGTGGAACTCACTGTCCCACAGTGCAGTGGAGGCAGAATCAATCAACAGATTCAAGAAAGAAATAGGTATGTTTCAGAGTGGCACGGTGGCTCAGTGGTTAGCACTGCTGCCTCACAGCGCCAGGGACCTGCGTTCGATTCCACCCTTGGGAAACTATCTGTGTGG